CCGAGAGTGGCTTTGTGTGCGAGGCTCCTGTTGGGACACAGATGAGAATGCCCTAGGGGACCCAGCTGCTGCCCAGCTGCTGCAGCTGCATGCAGCCCTCAGCCCTGCAGGCTTTCCCAGGCCGAGTCCAGTTAGCCCGCCGTCCCGGCCACACCTGCCCTCGCTTGGTGACAGGCCCCACCGGGCTACGCGCCATTTTATAGGGTTCATGGTGGGGCATTAAGTCACATCCGGCCACATAGGAAGGGTCGTTCGTGCTGCAAACCTTCTACAGCCCTTCCTGGACATCCAAGCTGTCTGTCTGGTGCCAACCTGTCTCTCAGGTGGAGCCCTTGCCAGTCTCCCCGTGGAGAAGGCGAGCTGGCCGCAGCCTGGTCCTCTGGTGCCGGTCTCCAGCTAGATGTCTCTAGCCGTGCGGTGAGCGACAGCATGCAGACAGAAGCCGCCAGCGGGATGGGTTCTCACAGCCGTGTCTTCAGCACCCTGGTGGACAGAAGGGTCATGGCCGCCCCAGAGACGCCTCCCTGCCCTGCACTCACTTCCTCCTCGGGGACGCCGCTATGCTGACTTCTGTCCCTGCGCACTGGTTTCCCCAGCGCTGGACTTCACGGCCCATCTGTTTTCTGTTCCTATAAACCGGCCTCTTCCAGGATGCTGTCTACGTGGGGCCTGCGGTGGCTTGGTCTGGCTTTGCTTCCCCTGCTCGACGCGGTGCTCTTGGGATGCATACTTGGAGTGGTTCCTTTTAATTGTAATTAAAAAATGTTATTTTAGAAATATTTCATTTAATGTACTTTTATGACTTTTTAATTTGACCAGAAAGAGACAAAGAGAGAGAAGAGGGAAAGTGAGAAAGCAAGCTGCCAGGCCTGAGACTCAAACCACAGTGGGCCATCTGGAAGTCCCGTGCCTTAACCCCCACATCAACTGCTGGCCCCCTTCATTTTCATTTTATTTAGTATTTTAAAAACTTTGCCAGACGGTACGTGCACTTGCGGGAGAGAGACCGAGAGAGAGAGGGAAAGTGAGAAAGCACAACCCATGGGGCATGGTCACACCGCAATCCCTTCTCTTCCCTCCATTCCTCTCTTTGCGATTTTGGGCATGCACACATGTCCAAAATGTTTTTCAAGCCACCAGGGCTGGGACTCAAATCACACTGTCAGCCATGAAGGATCCAGCCACCTTAACCTCCACACCGCGGGCTGACCCAGGAAATGGTTCCTTTCATGGCCAGATACTCCATCATATGAAGGAAACGCAGCGTGGGTCCATTCACCAAGTGACAGACATTGGGCTATTTTGGGTTTTTAGAGATTTCTTTCTTTCTTTCTTTCTTTCTTTCTTTCTTTCTTTCTTTCTTTCTTTCTTTCTTTCTTTCTTTCTTTTCTTCTCTTTCTTTCTTTCTTCCTTCTTTTTTTTTTGAGAGGTTTTTGCTATAGGGTGTGTGCACTTGCCAGACAGACAGAGACAGAGAGACAGAAAGCGAGAAATCACCAGGCTTTTGGTGTAGGTTGTGTGCACTTGCCAGAAAGACAGAGACAGAGAGACAGAAAGCGAGAAATCACCCCCCAGGGGGGATGGCCCCGCAATCTCTTGTCCTCCATTCTCCTCTCAGGCTCTTGGGTACACATGCACACGTGCCTGGTGTGAGTTTAAGCCACCGGGTCCGGGACTTGAACTGTCATTGGCTACATGGGAGTCCAGCGACATAGCCATTACACTAACTGCTGGTCCTGGGTTTTTAGAGATTTTGACTGATGTCACTGGAAACATTTGCAAATAGGTATTTGTGGGAAGATACATTTTCACTCATTTCAGGTAAACTAGGAGTGGAACAGTGGCGTCACCGGCTGAGCATGTGCCCCCTTGATTAGAATCTGTCGAACTGTTCCCGAAGCGCAGATGCCGTTCTCATCCCGCCAGCAGAGTGTGAGCGCAGCCGCTGCCCATCCTTGTCAAAACTTGGTGTTATCAGGTTTTTGTTTGTTTGTTTTTAAAACAGAGCCATTCAAATAGGTGTATAAAGGCATTTCACGGTGACTTTAATTTGTGTTTCCCTATTGACAAATGACATTGAATGTCGTTTCTGGGCTGCTTTTCCCACCTGTCCATTTAATTTAATTCAGTGTCTGCTCAAACGCTTTGCCCATTTAAAGAACTAGATTGTTTACTTTTTAATGGGCTCGGAGAGCTCTTTATATTTTCTGAATACTAGTCGGCCCTTTGTCAAATATGTGATTTGCAAATATTTTCTCCCAGTCTGGGGCTTGCTTTTATTCTCAACAGGTAGACTTTAATAATATTGTTTTGTTTTCATGAGAATTATTTTTCTGGTTATCTTAGATTTGTGGTTCTTCTTTCTTTGTGGGATTTTTTTTTTTTTGGAACTCCAGTGATAACAGTAAATGTTTTCTTTTAAAACCAATTTATTTCAGTAACAATGTAAGTCAATTTGAAGCCAAACATTAGTAATTAATAGCGGCGATGGGAAGCAGAGGCGCGGGAGCTGCGGTGCCAGCTACTCGAATATGCAAAGTGCAGCAGAACCCGTTGCTCCGCCAGCGAATACGGCCTGGACACTGCTCGGGCTGTGTGAGTGTGAGAGCCAGCAACAGGATGCTTCCTGCTGTTTTTATTTTTACTTTTTTGGTATGGGGTGTGTGTGCTAGCCAGAGACAGAGGGGGAGAGGGAAAGTGGGAAAGCATCCCTGAGGGGTTTTTTGGGCGTACAAGAACACACACCCGCTGTGTCTCAAGCTCCTGGGTCCAGGACTCAAACCGTGTAGTCAGCCCCGTGGGGTCCATTGCCTTACTCATCACCCCACCTGGCTGGTCTGGCTTCTGCCGTTTTGGTAATAGTTTCTCTCCAGCAAACTCTTCTTTGTTCTTCCAAAGCCAATCCAAATGACCGTGCGTGTCCAGGCCGTCCCCGGAACCCTCATCACACAGTGTGACAACTTCTTCCTCTCGGGCAGGGGATGTGCGTGCAGCCTCTGGGAGGGGTGTGGACAGCCCGGTGCATCGATTCTCCATAGCCA